ATAGGTTGAGTTCTTTTGTGAGTCTTGATTGTGTTACATGTCTATAATATATGCATACATTTGGCATAGTAATATACACAGAAATACTTATATATGTATACACATGGAATATGGCTTCCAAGAGACAGAGGGACATAAAATGATTACAGATATTTGTAGACTTTTGAGCTGAAACATAATCATCTTTTAGTTCATGCATTATAATTGTACATAACGAGATTTTTGTTGGATATTCATACCTGAACACAATCTAATAATGATATAATTTGGCCAATATTGCTCCCCAGCACTTCTCCCCTCCCTGCCTGCCTCCCGCCCCTTGGTCTGTTTCCTTTACTGATCTCCCTTTGATTTTCCTGAGATAATCCCCCATACCTTTTTTTTTCCTATTTCCTCTCTAGCTTGCCCATATGAGAGAGAAAAAATATGACCCTTGACCTTCTGAGTTTGACTTATTTTGCTTAACATAATGGTGTCCATCCATTTTCCTGCAAATGACATGATTTCATTTTTCTTTATGGATAAACCTCCATATTACCTCACTTGTCTTCGGATTCCTGGTGTTGGGCACATAGGGAAGCTAGTGCTGGTCCACTGCATTGATGACGGTAATAGCACAGCCCTTTTAACTCCTTCACCTTCAATTTTGGTGTTCCTCCCGTGATCCTTGTGGGTGATCATTCATCCTTGTGCTGGAATAGTATGACTTGCTGTAAGGATGAAGGACACTAAGCCAGAGAAGGAAACAGATAGCAGTGGGAGGGGGAACTCCATTAGTTTGACTCCATGTCCAAAGTCCCATATCACCTTTTTCCTTGAGAAGAGTGGGTGCCAATTTTAAGCCAGAAAAATGTCCTCAATATGAGAATTGCTTTCATCTTATAAAATTTCATTCTCATTATCTGTCACAATCAGCATTTTTTAGATATGAACTATAATTCCATATGAACTATGATTTTTTTTAAAAAATATTTTTTTAGTTGTTAATGTACCTTTATTTTATTTATATGTGATGCTGAGAGTCGAACCCAGTGCCTCACACATATCAGGCAAACATTCTACCACTGAGCCACAACCCCAGCCCTATGAACTATAATTTTGATAATTATTTGACATTCTCTTCTGGCTGGGCATATGCTAGTATTGTAATAAGTTTCTTCAATAGTAAATTTGGTGGATTGGATCAGGTGATTTCTAATGCTGCTTTCATCTTTGATACACCTTTTAATCTTTTTCCAGTTATTTGATGTTTTTTCTTCCTGAGCACCTAAAAGCATTTTTTTATTTGTTCTATTTAGTTTTACATAGCAGTGGAATGCACTTTGACAGATCATACATAAATGGAGTATAACTTCCCATTATTCTGGTCGTACATGGTGTAGACTCATACTGGTCACGAAGTCATATATGCACATAGGGTAATTATGTCAGATCATTCTGCTACCCTTTCTACCCCTATTCCTCATCCCTTCCCTTCATTTCCCTCTGCCTGATCCACAGTACCTCTGTTCTTCCCTAGGCACCCCAACCCTTATTGTGAATTAGCATCTGAAAATCAGGAAACATTCGCCCTTTGGTTCTCAGGGATTAACTAATTTTGTTTAACATGATATTCTCCAGCTCCATTCATTTACCACCAAATGCCATAATTTCATTCTTCAAGGCTGAGTAATATCTGGTTGTGTGTATATATACCACATTTTCTTTATTCATCTGTTGAAAGCACCTAGGTTGGTTTCATAGTTCAGCTATAACATTGATGTGGCTGCTTCACTGTAGTGTGCTGTCCTTAGGGTATAAACTGAGAATTGGGATAACTGGGTCAATTCCAAGTTTTCCGAGGAATCTCCATACTGCTTTCCATAGTGGTTGCACCAGTTTGCCTCCCCACCAGCAAAGTATGAGTGTACCTTTCCCTACATCCTCACCAACATTTATCGTGTCTTGTATTCTTGATAATTGCCATTCTGACTGGAGTGAGATGAAATGGCAGTGTAGATTTGATTTGTATTTCTGTAATTACTAGAAAAGAACATTTTTTTCATGTATTTGTTGATTGCATTTCCTCTGTGAAATATCTGTTCAGATCCTTAGCCCATTTATTGATTGGGCTATTTATTTATTTGGTATGAAGTTTTTCGAGCTCTTCATATATTCTGGAGATCAACGCTGTATCTGAAGTGCATTTGGTAGAGATTTTCTCCCATTCAGTAGGCTTTCTCTTCATGTTATTCTTTTGCTGAGAAGACGCTAAAAGGCTTCTTATTCGATTCTATCCCATTTATTGATTCTTGATTTTCTTGTGCTTTAGAGGTCTTGTTAGGAAAGTAAGTTCCTAAGCTGACATGGTGGAGACTTGGACCTACTTTTTTCTTCATTTAGCTGCAGGGTCTCTAGGGTGTGGTGCCTAAGTCCTTGATCCACCTGAGTTTTGTTCAGGGGGAGAAGTAGAGGTTTAATTTCACTTTGCTACATGTGTGTTTCTAGTTTCCCCGGCACCATTTTTTGAAGATGCTCTCTTTTCTCCAGTGTATGTTTTTGGTGCCGTTTTCTAGTATGAAATAACTGTATTTATGTGGGTTTTTCTCTGTGTCTTCTGTTCTTTACCATTGTTCTGTGTGTCTGCTTTGGTGCCAATACCATGCTGTTTTTGTTACCATGGCTTGGTGGTGTAGTGTAAGGTCGGGTATTGATCGTGATGCCTCCTGCATCATTTTTCTTGCTAATGACTGCTTTGGCTACTCTGGGTCTCTAATTTTTCCAAATGAATTTTGTGATTGCTTTTTCTAGTTCCATGAAGAATGTTATTGGGATTTTAAGAGTAATTGCATTGAATTTGTATAGCATTTTGGGTAGTATGGCCATTTTGACAATATTAATTCTGCCTGTCAAGGAGCATGGGAGGTCTTTCCATCTTCTAAGGTCTTCTTTAATTTCTTTATTTTTAAAAATTTTGTTGTATTTGTAGATGGACAGAAAGCCTTTGTTTTGTATATAAGTAAGGATCGAACCCAGTGCCTGGCACATGCTAGGTGAGCACTCTGCCACTGAGCCACAGCCCAGCCCTAATTTCTTTCTTTAGTGTTCTGTAGTTTTCACAGTAGAGGTCTTTCACATCTTTTGTTCAGTTTATTCCCAAGTATTTTATTTTCTTGAGTCCTATTGTGAATGGGATAGTTTTCCTAATTCCTCCTTCATTTGATTTCCCATTGGTATTTAGGTATGTCATTGATTTAGGGTAATTACCCAATAGATTTTGATGTGTCTGTATTCTCATTTATTTCTGAAAAAAATTCTTATATCTCTCCTGATTCTATCTGTGATCTAATCCTAATTCATCGAGTATTTTAACCACCAGGCATTAAATGGTTTGTTTCTTGTCATTAACTTCTCACTTCATTATTTTATGATCTTATGGGATGTAAGAAGTTATCTCTCTTTCTTGTATTTACCTTGTACCCCAAAATATGAAGTTTATTTATTTATTTATTTAGGTACTGAAGATTGAACTCCAGGGCACTTGACCATTGAGCCACATCCCCAGCCCTATTTTATTTAGAGACAGAGTCTCAGTGAGTTGCTTAGCACCCTGCATTGCTGAGGGTGGCACTGAACTCCAGATCCTTCTCAAGCTGCTGGGTTTACAGGTGTGCTCCACCGCACCAGGAAACAGGAACTATTTTAAAGAATGTTCATTGTTTCATGGAAAAGCAAATAAATTCATGGTTGGTGGATCAGAGAATTCATATATGTCTATTAGGTCCGTCTGATTAATATTATTTAGTTCTGAAGAGGCTGGGTGGCAGGGTTTCCTTCTTGGGGGGCATGGTACAGAAGCATCTCCCCAAACCTCAGCAGTGTGAAGAGCCCAGAGTGTGGTCCTCACAAGGCCTTGTCTGCCACCACAAACTCTGATCCATGTGTGGCTCCCTCCAATTGTCACTTCCTCCAACCCCCACCAGCACCAGTCCACTTTAGTGCACTTTTTGTTTAAAAGCATGGACACAGCTGTTGGGCATATGCCTTAGCAGCAGAGTGCTTCCCTAGCATGTATGAGACCTGAGTGTGGTGCTCATCTCTTCGGAAAAACTCTTGCCCATGAAGAAGCTCCTCAAGGGAGATCCTGGCTGGTGTGGCCATGTGTGGAGGTCCTGCTTCACAGCCTAGAGCAGCAGAGAGGCCCTGAGTGTCTCCATGCACCTATTGACTTGTTTCACAAGTTTGACTTGAGTCCTGGAGGCCAAATTGCGAGTCAGTCATGTAGGTTAGAGCAGTGTCCAAGACAGTATGTCTGGCCTCCTTCATTTCAGTGAATATTTAGGGATAAAACAAATTCAGTAGGATCAATGCAATGAAGGAGGGTCTGTAAGGGACGTGAACCGGGTGTTAAGCTTTCAGGATCCAATACTGGCTTGCTTCTGAGTGAGGCTTCATCGTCCTGTGATGGGCAGGAGGAGTGGGTCCAAACCTGTAAGGAGCACGGTGGAACCAGAGGCCTTGGAGCAGGTGCAGGGGTATGAAATGAAGCCCTAGGCCCTGGGGGAAGGGAACCAGGCACTCAAGGCCACGCCCAGCCACAGAGCCCTGTCCCCGGAGCTCACACTGCCAAGGCCAACTGGGCTGGAAGAGGCCGCACTGCACTGCAGCAGAGATTCTCCTTGGAGTTCCTGAGGTCTGGCGGGTGCTGTGGGCCTCCTGGACTAACCCCAGTTCTGCTCCTGCATTCTTGCTGTCCTCCAGGAGGGCACACACGCCCTCCCCTCCACGCCCTAGCGTGGAACTGGGCAGAGAGCTGCAGGTAGGGAAGCTCAGTGTGCAGCGTGGTGTGTGTGTGTGGTGGTGGGGGATTAGGCCTTGGATGCAGACCCAGGAGCTGGACGGGGTACTGCAGCTCCCCCTACTGGACAGAAGAGCCAGGCGCAGAGCACAGTGCAGGGGGCGGGCCCACCAGGAGCCAATCACCGAAGGCCAGGCAGATTGTGGCACGTGACCGTGCGTGCCCATGCACTTGTGTTTTCCAGTGTCTCCCAGCAACGACTATTTTGCCCGATGGCTGGCGGATGGCTAACGGAGGAGCCGCCTTCGTAGGCCCATGGACACAGGCAGCTGGCCATGTCTGCAGGAATGGCCAGAGCCTGGAAAAAGTTTGTTTATTTAAGCCTTGGGACCAAGGTTATTGGCTATAACCCCATTGGCAAGATCCACCAGGCTGCCAAAAATTGTGAACTGAAAAGAATTGAACGTTATCTGGGACGCGGCTGTCATGTTGATGATACTGACCAAAAAAATAGGTAATAGGGTCTGGAGGCCAGGGGCTGAGGGCACAGGGCCAATGGGGAAAGCTGGGCTGTTGGAATGGAAGCCTGCTCCATCCAGGCTGTGCCCGTGGGGGCAGAGCAGAAGGGAGACTGGTTCTCCTTTCACCAGGATGTCTGACTTTAATACCCCGTGGAGTCCTCGATATCCAGGACCTGCAACCTTTGGAGGTCCGGTGCCCAGGACTTCTAATGGGCAAATAAACAAAAACAAAACTTCAACTGGTTTCCCAGACACTTATAATTTCCCTGTAGGGTGGCTGACTTTTAAAAAAAAATTAGATATACACAGCAGCTGTTAATGTGCACATTTTCAAAAGCATGAAGAAAAGTGTATGAGAAAAGTATTCTCATCATACAGCAACACCAGGGCTAAAGAAAAGTTTTCAGATACAATATCTATTGTGCCCTGAGGGCCTTACAAGACTCTGAATTGGGAAGATGTTTCCATGTTCATTCTTGTTTTGTTTTAAAAATTATTTCACACTAGTTTATTTAGGGGTGTGGCTTTCACCACTAAACTAAGCTTTTGCTTATTTCTCACATGCTTCACTCACTAGTTCATCAAATCCTGAAGGATAACTTGGTGTCATCCTGATCATCCAGCCATCTTCATAACAGCACTTGTTGACAATCCCTGAATTTTCTGCAAATACTTCCTTAACTGCAATTACTTTTCCAGAGAGAGGACGCTAGAGTCACTGGCAGCTTTCACACTTTCCAAAGCACCAAACATAACATGCTTTTTTAATTTTGTCACCACATCGGGCACACTACACTAAAAAAGCATCTGCAAAGAGCTTCCTGCACAAAATTGCAAATTGCTGATTCCACTGTTCCAGTACCCTTTCCTGTAGTTATCCATTACTGAGTGTGTGTTCAAGCAGGTAGAGCAGAGCATTGGTTGAGAGCATCCAGGCAGTGCAGGCTCTTAGTCACTAGGGCCAAGGGAGCAGCACACACAGAGTGCCTATCCTGCAGAGATGCCCGCTGCCGCCCTTGTTCTACCCTGTTCTGAAGAGACTAAGGACGTCAAAGGTAGGCCCTGCTGGTGGTTTGTGCATAGGAATACTCGTTGACCCAAAGTGTGAGCTCTTTCGGAGGTTATCCATTTCACAAAAACCAAATAAAAATATCAGTACGTTTTTGAGTTCCACACACAGTCCTTTAGGGTCATGATGACCCAAAGGAAATGTTTGCAGTGAACAAAGACTTGCCATTCTATGTATCAAAATACATTATTAATTACTTTCACAAATTACTTGTTTGCCAGTGGCCAAAAGATTAGGGACTGGAACAGGATAAAAAGAATACTCAAACATCTGGAAGAGTAAAATGGAATTTGGTAGGTAGCAGCTTGCACAATTTCAAATGATGTACAGAAGTTTCCATCAAGTCATCTATTTGGGGAGCATTAAACAGCTAAATCCTTAATAGCCCAATGCTGCAGCTCTTTATTCTCAAACATTGAAGCTGAGAAATGTATTTCATTTGTTAGACTTAAATTTCTTCTCTTAGCAAGGATACTAAATATTTTTTCTATTTCATATGTTACTGTCACTTGAGCATCTGTAAAAGAGTACTTTGATTTAAATTAGATTCCAGGGTTGGAAATGTAGCTCAGTGTTAGAGCACTTCTTGCCTGGCAAGCTCAAGGGTAAGGGTTCAGTCCCCAGCACAACAGCAGCAGCAGCAGCAGCATAATAGATTTTAAAAAGAGAGGTAGAAAAAAGAAAGTTTTCTTTTCAATTCATTCTTTCTTAGAACAGTCTTTGCCAGCAAAAAGAAGCATTTGTATTTTCTTCTAGAAAACTTGTATATAGAAGTTCTATAGTACATATCATCTATTGTAGATATTAGTACATATACATTTTATTTCATATATGCAACTATAGGTTAATAATTTTGTTCTGGTTGCATCTTGATGAAAATAGAAGAAAGCAAGTATGAAAGATTATTACTACTGCAAAAGTATTGCTTTACTTTATAAAAGTTTCACTTAAAAATACTGAAGTTCTCACCTATACTCATCAAATTTTTAATTCTATTCATTTGTACTCATGAACTGAATACCTATTTTTATGCTCATAAACTGCGCAGCTATTTATTTTGTAGTTAACATATTCTGTCTCACAGAATTTTCTTAAAAACTTTATGTGACAGTTAATTAAAACTGAAGTGAATAGGACTCAGTACCAAATGAAACAGTTCTTCCTCTTTTTCAATCAAGCATTTATGGAGATAGGAAATTGTGAACTTCCCTTTTGAAAAGTTAAAGTATCAAATACTGAACATTGGAAATACCTGATTTACATATATCCTGTATGTCTAAATACTGAACAAATTTAACCAATACTAATTCATTTGTGTTCTTTTTCCTTTGGCTTTCAATTACTTGGGAAAAAAATAAGCAAAGATTACTTTGCTTTTAGAATGGTCTTTTGCTTTTATTATTCAGCCTGCTTTACCTATAGTACATTTAAGAACTGAATTTAAATGCTATCCACGTGATGAGAACTGCCATAAATCTATTGTTTGTTTCACATTTCACTTAAGGTAAGGCACCATAGATTATGATGGTCCTTTATTTTGTGAATGAAGGAAAAAATTTAATGCTGCCAATTATAGTTGAAATGCAGCCTGAATTATTAGTGGCATTCCTATGTCAGGGTTAAAATGATAGGAAAAAGCATCTTAAGACTCATTGAAATACAGTTTTAAAAAGATACCTGTAAAATCACTATATTGCTACTATTTTATTAATTGAAATACTCTTTGTTGATTAATAGCAATAATCTTAGTTACAATAGCTACCAAGTATGGAGCTGTTGCTTGTGCTAGAAACCCTTCAGATGTTTTACATAGATTCTTTATTAAGCATCACAGTAGTATCCTGGGAGATAATTACTCATTTCAATCCTTACTTTATTAGTGAAGAAATGAGGGATAGGAAGACTACGGGATAACTAGTACATCAGAGCTTAAAGTAGAATTCAAACCAAAGATGAGCTAAATTCCAAAGCCTTATTCTTTCTAGGCAAGTTGGCTGCTCTGCTCTGGGGATGTGGCTCTTTGGTAGAACCCTTACCTAGAATGCTCCCAGCCTGGGTCTTCATGTGCTGGTCCCCAGCACCATGAAAAACCAAACAAAAATAAGTAAAATCATTGGGACCAGGCACAGTGGCACATTCCCATAATTTCAGTGACTAGGATGCTGAGACAGGAGCATTGGAAGTTCAAGGCCAGGGTGGGCAATTTAGTGAGACCCTGCATCAAAATTAAAAATAATAATAATAATAAAAAGTGCTTAGGATATGACTCCGTGATTGAGTGCCCTGGGTGCAATCGCCAGCATTATCAGAAACAAGAAATAAGAAAGTGTCAATGGCATAGGCCAGTTATTCATTAATTTAATAATGTAATGTCAGCTAGTAAATATTGCACCTTCTTCAGAAGAATTACGAGTAGCTAATGTTTATAATTTCATGAAAAGTTGTATATTTCAAAAGGTGTCTTATAAATTCCTAACAAAACCTCTTACTTGCATAGGACCCCTCTACATTATGCCTGTGCCTATGGCAATCCAGCAGTGGTGACTCTTCTAGTAAAGAGGAAATGCAACGTCGACCTGTGTGACAGTGATGGCAACACACCGTTGATGAAGGTAGGTGTAGCCAGTGGTTTTGCAGGAAATGAATTTGATGAAATGCTTAGAAGAAAAATTGATTAATGCCGTTTAGTTATAACTAATGAGTAAAACGTGAGATATTTTTTCTTGGATTTCCCAAATTTACAATCTATTTCTTGGTTAAAACCAACAGGCCCTACAGTACGAGGAAGAGGAATGTGCAATTCTTCTTCTAGAACATGGTGCCAATCCAAATGTTCACAACAACAAGGGTGAAACTCCGCTCCACTGTGCTATCTTTTATAGGAGCACATCAGTAGCAACAAAACTGCTTTCATTCAACGCAGATATTGAAGCCAGAAACACGGTATACATCAATCACCATTATTTCCAAAATATTTGAAATGTTTCTTTAAAATTAACAGTAATGTGTGTTAACAAATACTGATTATAAGCAGAATTTTCTCTATTAGAATATTAGCAAATGTTGGAAGTTCTCCTCGTATTCCTCCTCCTCCTCTTCTTGTAGCTCATGTGTATATTTAGTTTGCCTCTATGAATTAGAATCAAGAAACTCATGCAGAAATCTGAACTTCAAGCTTCTGTGAAGGAACCCAATGTGGTCCCCCCTGAGCCATAGTACTGTGTGGTGTGGTGTGCAGGGTTTGCCTCCCACATGCTGGGCACACATGTTCTTCAGTTTGCTACTGGCAACTGCAGCATTCACTCAGATCATCTACTTTGCCTCTATAAATGAGGTTACAACTCCTCTTTTATAATATGTTTTGATAAAGATTGCATGGAGGTTTCTACTGATTTACAAAAATATGGTCTACATAATATAAATCTCTTTGAAATGGGATCAAATTTTGGAATGTAGAATTTGGCATTTAAATAGTTTTCTTTCTTTCTACCATAAAAATCATGTTCTCATGGGAATTTTTGTAAGCCTGATTAGGTTACTCATTGCTATAAGTGGATAAATAATTGCTAGAAGTAGATAAGTCAAGGATGTTGTAAGCTGTCCTATGTACTACTCTTCAGCTTTGTTCCTTAAAAATGCAAATGATTTAGTCTTTCATGATGCTAAAAATAATCCATGTAGATCAGCATAAAACTTGTTGATACACAAAATTTATGAATTACATTTTGCCTAAAATTATAAATAAGTTTTAAGTAGCAGTTAAAGTGGAACCAGATTAAAAAGAATTTTGAAAGGTAGCTTAGCATTGTTACCAGGATTATCATTACAAGTCAGAATATATTTTAATATTATTTTTATTAGAGTTTATATGACTTAGTAGTTGGGTTAATCCCAACAATTCATACAGACATGAAATTCCAATTGAGTTCATGATCCCCTCTTTTTCCTCCTGTCCTACCCCTCCTCCTCCATTTTCCTCCTGTTCTCCTGGACTTCCTTTCACTTGTCTATTTATTTATATTTGATTGCTTCTTTCTACTTATACATAAAGGCACAGTTCCCTGTGATATATTTATATATGCATATAACATGATTCTTAAAGAATTCCTTATTCATTGCCTTCCCTTCCCTATTCCCACTCTGCCTCTCAATCTCCTTTTTCTACACTAATGATCTTCCCCAAGTTCTTTTGATATTCTGTTCTTCCCTTCTCTTTTTCTTAACTTCCACATATGAAACACTTGACCTTTGAGTTTCTTAGTTAAACTTTTTTCAATTAGTGTGATATTTTTTGTTTCTACCCATTTACCAGCAAATGCCATAATTTATTCTTTATGGCTCAGTAAAACTCCATTGTATGTATGTGCATCACAATTCTTAATTCTTTCATCTATTGACAGGCACCTGGGTTGATTTTATAATTTAGCTATTGTAAATTGTGCTCCTATAAACACACATGTGGCTGTATTACTATACTAGGCAAACTTTATTTTAGTAATTTTGGGAAAATACTGAGGTGTGGGATAGCTGGTTCATGTTGTGGTTCCCTTCTTAGATTTGGGGGAATCTCCAAACTGTTTTCCAGAGTGGTTGTACTAGTCTGCAGTCCCACCAGCAGTGTACAAGTGTGCCTTCCCCCGACACCCTTACTAGCATGCATTACTGTTTGTGTTCTTGATCATTACCATCTTGGCTGGAGTACGATGAAAATGAAGTCTTAATGTAGTTTTGATTTGCATTGACCTAATTGCTAGAGATGTAGATGAGCTTTTCATAATTTTTAGACATTGTGTTTTTTTTTGAGAAATTTATGTTCAGTTCTTTTGTCCATTTATTGACTGAGTTTGTTTTTTGGTGTTAAGTTTTTTTTAATATTTAGTTTTTAGTTGTAGTTGAACACAATACCTATACTTTATTTTTACGTGATGCTGAAGACTGAACCCAGGGCCTTGCATGTGTTAGGCAAGTGCTCTACCACTGAGCCACAACTCCAGCCCAGTGTTAAGCATTTTTGAGTTGGGTTATTTATGTTTATTAATCCCCTACTAGTGGATTAGCTGGCAAAAATTTTTCTCCAATTCTGTAGGAAGAATATATTTTTGTATTGAGCTTTCTAACATAAATTAAATACCTTTTATCTTATAATAAGAGAAGACATAGAGACCAATTAAGAAAAAGCAACATAGTTTATTCAAAATCTATATCTTTTAATTCAGAGCCCATTATCTTTGTGACCTTTTGGAGCAGGAATGCTTGACATTGATATCTGGGATTCTGATTCCATAAAGAGAAGATAATCAAGAGGACTTGTATAACATGGAGGAAACTTCCATGTCACTGGAAAGCTCTCAGAACTCTATCCCTGCAATTTGAATTCTTCACATGGGAATTTTTGCTATGAAAAATCAGTGTCAAATAGGGGTTAGGCAATGATAAAGCTATTTCTGTGATACTGGACATGCAATGCACAGTTCTGTAAATTTTATCTAATAGTGAAACAAAGAATCTTTCTGATGAGTCTTGGTATTTCTGGAAAAGTAGACATTCTTCAGAATCTGATTGATACACCCTACGAATGAGTTGAAAATTTGGCTCATTAATAAAATACTTAAATCCTTTACTAATATGTGTTAAGGAATGGGGCTTCTGAGATAGAAGATATACATCGTGTCCTCGAGATGCTCTTGGTTGAGTTGGATGTGGGTTACATAACTCCAAGATGCCATGATGAATGCTCCACAGAGGCAAAGATCCGTGGAAACAGTCAATGTCTGAAGCAGCTTTGGAAATGACTGGAGTTCATGTGGCCACTCTAGGCACAGGAGCGGCAATTCAAATTGAAAGAGCAGCACTTATGGAAGAGAAGAGAGTGGCTACTCTTAATTTACATTATTATTATGTGCTTATATTCATACAGTATTTTGTAAGGTTAAGTTTAGTTGAGAAGAATTAATTTTGAGAATAAACTGTTTTTGTTGTTTTTCAGAGTGGCCAAACACCACTTTTATTCGCCATAAAGAAAAAGAGACAGATGATGGTAGAATTTTTTATTAACAATAAAGCAAACATACACGCAGTTGATGATAAGGGAAGGTATAGTACTTTATTGGTTTTTTTTTTGAAAAAACTTAATTTTGTAGTAAAAATCACTTAAGTTAATCTATTAAATTAATGGGAATGATATAATCATTGGAATACATGTGTGAATATAGGTGAAATATATGAACAATGAACTACAATTAGAGAGAAAAGCAGTTATTGAAACTGAGTAACACAAATAAGAGTATATGGTGTGAGTCACCTGCTCTGATAATTATTGGCTGATGATTAGTATTTGATTTTGTTGATCACATGATCTTGTGCTAGCTAGAGTTTTCATTTTAGTTTTGTAAAATATGGACTTTTAGTTTTCTTTATTCGTATTGGATTTTTTAAACTTTCTGTTATATTTTGTCTTCTCCTGGTATAGCTTTCTTTTGGAAATGCTGTGTTGAGCATAAACAGACATTGAAAATAATTTCATCCTTTGGATGACTATTTGCTTTAAATTACTTTGTAGAATATTGATTTTAGATTATTTCTGAGTGTTAATTGCTATTGAGTGATTTTATTTTTAATTGGCATGGACAAAGGAAAGAAAATAAGTTCAAAGGGAAAAAAATATTTCCTTTAATGAAGATAAGATATAGGTGGGTGATAAAGAAAGAAGAAAGAAGCTTTACATTCACACATGACTGGATTGCATTCCTAGCTTTCCAAATGCAAAATATGTGACCTTGAAAGCAATCCTAAATATGGGTAATGACTAAATATGTTTCCTGATATGAGAAATAGGATAACACATGCTTGAAAGCTGGTTGCCAGATTGTACATATAGCACTGATTTCAATGCCTGGCAAATGCTTCTCCAAGTGAATGACTGAAGCAATAATGACTGTTATTACCACAGTGCTACTGTTATCATGTTAGGCCTGCAAATAGCTTTTTTACTTCTTGACCTTTGGCTGACTGTGAGTTACAATGTATTACATCATCCTAGGAAGAAAAGGGAGGTTTTCTCATTGAAATCTTTGCCAACTCCAGATGAATGACATCATCATAGTTGTTGTCTTTATTTTCCTCTTAGACATACAAATGACTTTCAAAGATAAAGATACGATATCTTCCAAGATGTTTATGTCTGTTAGTGTATGTAAAGCAAGATATCAAATTGGTAAAATGTAGTAAATTGGCTATTTAAATAAATTTATTAAAATGCCTAAGGTTGAAGTTATCTCTCTCATTTTAGAACAGCCCTCATGTTTGCGGTGGAACATAAATCAACACAGATAGCTGAGCTGCTGCTTCAATGTGGTGTAAATGTGTCTGCTTCAGATAAGTGTGGACGGATTGCCTTGTCTTATGCCATTGCTAGTGGCAGTACTGCGTAAGTGTTTACATGACAGTACTAATCAGCATTAGATGTAGATCCACAATAGTTACACCTGTTGCATCTCACACATGAAATGAGACTTCATAGTGTAACTATGTATGGAACGGTAGTGAGTTAGGACAGCTCCTCAGTGTAGCCTAAAAGTAGTGATGAAAGTTTGAGCAAAGAGGAGGGAGGATAGGGGAGGGGAAATGGGGGCAGGAAAGATGGGTAGAATGAGGTAGACATTATTACCTAAGTACATGTATGACTGCACCCATGGTGCGACGCTACATTGTGTACAATCAGAGAAATGAAAAGTTGTGCCACAGCTGTGTACAAGGAATCAAAATGCATTCAGCTGTCATATACACAATTAAAATTTAGAAAAATTTTAAAAAGTAATGAGTCACCTGCAGGGTTTGTTATGTCTCTCCTCCCTTTTCCTCCTCTTCTCACACATGCAAGGAAATTGTTCTAGCACCGAGGTACACCACTAGCCAATACATTAGGACTTCTGCTAGAACTGACCTTGCAGTCTGGTAGAGAGTAGCTTTACTATATGTTCTCACTGATCCAATCCCTGAGTCTTCATGGTAACACACACTTAGACTCAAAAGTTACAACACTCTTTTTAGTTCTCATGCTTTTTTATTTAACCATCGTTCCCAAGCAGCAGCACTCTGCTTTGACAGCTTGGCCTCTAGCTTTGGCCAACACACAATAAATGCTCTGACCCTGTCCCCCTTTTAGGAACCTTATATAGAACCCCCATATTGACTTTTCTTTTTCTGGTGCATTATCCTTTGAGGGCTTTGTCTTTTCTGTCAGAAAATTGAAATCATTAAAAGCTATCAGAGAACTTCAAGTAAAGTCACTGAAAGAGATCAGAGTTTTCTACCATCTTGGTTAACAGATATGTACCTGGAAACCTTCCGTCCCTTGAAATACATTTCCTTTGACTGCAAGGGGCCCCATAGCACTGTTTCCTAAGGTGGATGCCAATTTTTATTGGCACCTCTAGTGGTTGGTTTTCCCGAATAATGAAAATTTCCTAAGCTGTTGGAATCACTACCTAAAGTTTTCAGCATATATTAAGTTCTTCCCCAAACGAAGAGATTAGGCAGATTCATCGAATCTCAAGAGAGCTAAGCCCCATGATGACTCCTCAGGATCCATTGTGTTGAAGAGGATTTTTTGTCTTCCAAGGCAGTTGGGGATCAACGTGGGGATGTAGCTACTCTTACAAAGGTCTGCCGATTTGGTTCAACTAGGTAGAGAAGAAATAGTAGTCCAAGCCAGTCCTTGGCATTTGTTAATTTCTTGCCTTTGTTATTGATGAGTCTCAAAAAAGGGGATGATTATAGTCTCTAAGGAGATATTTGTAAATAAAATTGTAAATTACTTAATCGCCGATTTGCTCTGAGTTACAAAGCACAAAGAGCACAAATGATAATGAAAATTAAGACGCATTTTTTAAAAATGATTTTGACATTTGGATATTAGAACCTGTAAAAATATACAATAGTGTTGAGATTCTAAATAGTTAAATATGCCATTATTTTACTATTTCTTTCAATATTCTTAGTAAATCTTTATTACAACCTGGTGAACTAAAGTCATAGAACCCTTATTTTTTAGAAATTCTTAAGCCAAAGAGAAAGGACTTTACAAGAACAAGGAGCTATTGTTTACAGAGGGCATTTTCTGAGTTCAGTCTACACTAGTTAATATATTTACCTGTCTTGCTCTCAATGATCATTTTACCTTAATTTTTTCTTTAAAAAGTATGGATTCAGTGGCACGTGCATTCACCCCAGCTACTTGGGAGCCTAAGGCAGGACAATTGCTTCAGCCCAGGAGTTTAGGATCAGCCTGGGCATCAGAACAAACATTGTACAAATAATTTTCTTTTTTAATTTATTTTTTAGTTTTAGGTGGACACAATATCTCTATTTTTTACTTTTATGTGGTGCTAAGGATCAAACCCAGCACCCTGCCCATGCCAGGTGAGCACGCTACCACTTGAGCTGCATCCCCAGCCCCACAAATAATTTTCAAGTTAATAAAATGTCTATAAGGCTTACAAATTTGGAGAGCATATGAAAAAAGTTCTGATACTAGATCTAAAACTCTATACAAAGTATTCAATTATATTTGGTCATTGTTTTCATATGATTATTAAAATACCAATTTTATTACTTTTTTCAAATATAGCAACAGGAATTTAATTCTTCAATATATGAAAGCAGAATCTAGAACATCAGCAATTTTCAGTTCAGGTAAGACTTACAAAAGTGAGTTACTCTTGGTGTTTATGCCCTGTATTTAAAAAAAAGAGTAAGGAAGTTTTGATTACAAAAGAACAATGGAAAAAAATAAATCTTTAAATTCCATTCATATTTTTCTTAATTTCCTTCTTGATCATCTAGAATCCAGAATTATTTAGCAATTAATTGTAGAAAAATTATCATCTAAATGATATTATCTGAAGAAATTTTATATTAATTTTGGAACCCTGAAATTTTATGGCTTTGCATAAATAAGAAAAATATTTTTAAATTAGTGTGTTTCCTATATGGTGACATTATAGCAAATTGGACTTGTTATAAAAACAGGTGTTCTTATCAACTATTAATATCAACTCCTATTGTGGGCACAAGTTAGTGGATTTCACAGTGATATTTCTATACTCACACACAATAATTGAATCCTGACCACTCTCCCTACTTCCATTTTCCCCCTCCCCAGTTACCTTCCCTCTTCCTTAATAATCTCTCTTCCATTTTCTAGTCATTCATATTTTCTTCCCAGATTCCACATGTTAGAGCATGTGATACTTGGATTTTTGTTTGATTTTTTTTAACCTTAACATGATGACCATCCTTTCCATTCATGTTATAGTTTTTGTCCTTGTTTACTTTTAAACATTTTTTTATTCAGTGTTTGAAATACACCATTTCATGCTATCCTGAATCTTAAAGGTTCTACTCAGAAATCTAATATTTTTTCTGATGTGTTTATAATTTCTTTGCCCTTTCTGTAGATTTCAGTTTACCTTTGGTAATTTTATAGACTAATTTTCTGGTCATGTCCATTTGGGATTCTAAAACCTTATTATGCCTGGATATTCATAACTGTCACCAGATTTAAGAAATAATTTCTTTTATCCACGGAGAAAGCTTGCATTGTCTATAGCCTGTACCTCTCCTCCATTGTGTGAACCAGTGATTCATAAGAGTACTATCTATGAATTGTGGGTCTGTAAGTTGTTTACAGTTCTTCTGATTATTGTTAGTATTGTCTGAATGTGGTATTTTATCAACTTCAAACTCTGATATTTTTTTCTTTCACTTGATGTACTCTATGGGTTTGACTTCAACTAGATATTTTTATTTGAGGTATGGAACTCTTTATTTTCAAGATTTCTAATTGATTCTTTATCAGAATCTGTATTGAATTGTTCTTTCATGTCCTGCACTGTTTTCCTTAATTTACTCAGTTTTTCTTTGTTTCATCTTTGAATTCATTCATTATTTTTAACATTCTTTAGAATTTTTTTTTTCTGGTGCTTTCTCTATTGCATTATCTTTGCAAAAAGTTCCTAGAGTTATAAATTGTGAAAGAGTCATACTACCTTGCTTTTTATCTTCTTACATTTCTAGATTGAAATTTGTACATCTTCAGGGATATGTCTCTTCCACCTTTATGTGAGGGTTTACTTAGGAAGTAGCCTTCTCTGGATGATGTGTCCTGTGGTATTGGTTTATTGTATAAAGTTGAATTCATTTCCAAATGGCATCTGAATTGCAGTTTCCTGTGTCTTATCTGTGATTCGTGAGCTGTTGTCAGTTTGCACTGTCAGTTCTGAGGTAACAGCTTTCTGCATCAGTGTTGAGAGTGGAGTCATGTTGGTGGACTAGTGATATAGGCAGTAGAGAATCTGTGGTAGTTCCTCTAAATTTGTCAATAATGTGCTGCCTGCAAGGATATGGGAGAGACCTAGGCTGAGGACCTGCATGATTTTGTAAGAGTTGCTTCATTTATTTCTAGTCTTGCTTTAGGGTGAGTGTCCAGACCACTGAATTTTAGACATGTCTGTCCATTCCTAAACGGGTATATGTTAAGTGGGAGCTTTTTTGTTTTAATCTCCTCTGTTCTTATTTTTATTTTTTTTTTCAGCACCAGTTTTTATTTGTATATATTTAGGTCTACGTAACAGTAGAGTGTATTTTGATATGTGATACATACATGGTCTATAACTTATTCTATTTAGGATCAGAGAACATTTGGCCTTTGGTTTTCTGGTATTGTCTTATTTCACTTAGTATGATAGTCTCCAGTTCCACCCATTTACCAGCAAATGCCATAATTTCATTCTTTATGGATGAGAAATAAGTACTCTATTGTGTCTATGTACCACATTTTCTTTAATTTTTTAAATCTTTTTAAGGGCACCTAGATTGATTTCATAGCTATTGTGAATTGAGCTGCTATAACATTGAGGTAGCTGTGTCACTTATTATATTGATTTTAAGTCCTTCTGAGTAAAATAGTGTTTCCATTCCGAATTTTCTGAGGAATCTCCATACTGTTTTCCAGAGTGCTTGCACCAATTTGCAGTCTCACTAGCAATGGATGAGTGTAACTTTTTTCTCACATTCTCTCCAGCATTTGTTGTTGCTTGTCTTCTTGATAATGCTAAACATTTAAAAAATATATTGACCAATTGTATTTCTTTTTCTGTGAAGTACCTGTTCAGATTCTTTGCGCATTTATTGATTGGGGTGTGTGTATATGAAGTTTTTTGAATCATCTTTCATACAATCAAAGAATAGGTGTTCCTGTGGCTTCAATTGTATTAATTGTTGCTGTAGCATTAGTGGTGGTGTCTGGAGTTCTGTAAACTCCAGCTGTGCTGTCACCTCCACCCCCAGTTAGTGTTAGAAGTTAAGAATAGAGTTCATTAAGAGGAAAGAAGCAATTGCCAGTAGAAAAGGATTTGTGGTTTTCTAGATAGGAATATGACAGATGCAGAGGTAGTGTAGGATGTGTTTACCAGGAGGAAAGAGAAAAAAAGCAGTAATGGAATTAAAGAGGAGAGAGTTTTCAATTAGCATATTTTGGATTGATTTTAAAACAGAATACAAAATCAATCCAAAATATGCTAATTGAAAACTTTAATCCTCAAAAACCAGAGTAACCCTCAAAAAACAGAGTAAGGAAAAATAAGTATGTTTAAGATTGCTAGACATGAGAAAGCAAAAAAAAAAGTTCACATGTAAAAGTGTGTAAATGTTCATCATGTATCCATCAGTACACATTCAAAAACTAAAGAAAAAAAACACAGGTTGTCACTGAGAGTACAACACGCTTGCTCTCTGTGCCAAAGCTCTGTCCCTTCTCCATGGATTGGGATTAGCTGTGGGAGGTGCTGTCAGCTCCACCCCCGGGTATAGGTTATGCTGGGTTCTACAAGATCTTCTCAGGGGAGGCAGTGAGGCCTAGTCCTTGCCCCAGGTGTTTCATTGCATGGGGAGTTATTGAGCATAAAAGAATCAAGGCACCTTTAGCACTATATCCCCCTCTTCTCTCCAGGGCTACATTCTTGGGAAGGGGAAGCCAGTTCTTCACCAGCTCCGTTTTTCAAGAGTACTGTCCTTACTGGCCTCCTGAGATCTGCCCCCAAGCCCCAAGCTCCATCCCTCCTGCTGCTTCAGATTTTGAAGCCACTGCCACTGGTCCTGGGCAGTGCTGTGTCAAGGGAAGAGGAAGGCAGGCTCTCTCTGGCCTCTTTGACTTACATTACCCCCAGGAAAAATGCTGTCCATGCCAGAAATTCTCCTGATGTGCTAGGCTCACTTTAGAGCTTGTGGCTGGTGTCTGCTGGATTCATGTATGGGACTGGGCCCCAGCACGTGGATCTAAGTTCCCAGTCTGAGTTGGTGCCGCTGCAGTGCAGATGTGCAAACATGTCTCCAGCTTCAGCTCCCTGTGCATAGCAGGCAGAGCAGGGGTGACTTCCACGTAGTAGTTTAAGGAGCAGAATAGCTTCTGAGTCTTCCCAGGCCAGGTTGCCTCTTGGGTCCCATGGCAACACTTTCTGCAGCACTTTTTAAAATTTTTTAAAAAATTTTTTAGTTTTAGGTGGACACAGTCATTTTATTTTTCTGTGGTGCTGAGGATTGACCCAGTGCTTCGTGCCTGGTAGGTGAGCACTCTACCACTGAGCCACAACCCCAGCCCCTCATCTGCAGCACTTTTCAGTCTTTCCTGTCCTCGTGTACTCACTTTCCCCACTCCCATCAGAACCTCAGCTCCAGTTCTGTTTCTCTCTTTGTCTGATGCACCCCAACTTCCCCAGTTTCCCAGGCTCTCTGTTGAGTATTGAGTATCGGTGGCATCTTTCATCACCCACCTCACAGAGAAGCAGTTTTCCCCCTCTGGGTCCCATGTCTTGGAGCTGTGCAAAAAGCCACTTCCTGCTAACCCACCATTGTGTCTCCCCTTGTTTGACACTGATATCTTTATGCTACTTTATGTGACAATGATAAGGTTTTCTTTCATCTTGCAGTTTTGAGTAAGGATTATGGTTTTGAGACAAATGACTTACTTTTAAGTATCAAACTTTTATAATTTCCATGTTTCTTGCATTTGGTAAGTACAGAGGAGGAGACATAGGAGTTGTTAATACACTACTTACCTATCAGAAATACAATTAATATTAATTCTAAAAATGTTTCCAGGTATGGGCCTGGAGGAATATTTTATTATAACAAAACATCAGAGTCATAAATCTTTAATATTTTATATTTCTGTTGATTAAATATAATTTTACTGTTTTCTTTAATAGTGAAAGAAAGTTCTGAGGCTGACGCATTAATAAGGTATGAATTTATAGGTTTAAAAAAATTGTCTATTAACTAAGTAGAGTGTAAAGTTAAAAGGAACCAAGTATTTGCTGAGTGTTCTAGTCTGGGACAGACACCACATTAGTTAACACTTGTTTCCTAAAGTTGTGTCATGGAGACTTTGGAAATGCCTGTGATATTATAACCTGTTAATTACTATTAAGGCAGCTGTCATTCATAGAGGCTGACTATTTGTTCCATATTCTCCTAATTAATAAGTATCAGGCCCGTGGTTAGACTATAGCCTTACCTGGCTGAGAACTCCACTGTGTTGCCCACTGTACAGGTTGATACCAAGATGTATCAATTCAGAATTCAAAGGCCGTTGTGGGTTAATTCTGATTTACATTTTACCTGAGAAGCTTAGTTATAGTCCAAGATTTTGTCCTGACATTTTTGACAGTTCCACTGGTCACCAGCTTTTTTAATACATCAAAGATTTTATGGAAAATCTCAAAGAGCTATGGCCATAGGGTTTTCTGATAAACAAGATCAGGCAAGAGCTGGAGAGAAATTATCTTTCTGGAAGTGAAGAATACCATTGTTTCGACAATGTTGTATTAATTACACTAATCCTTAGAGGACATTCTAACTGATTTCTCTATTTCCTGATTTTCTAGTTGGTTTCCCTTCAATTACTACCCCTGTTCATTTTATGAAGACTTTTACTTTTATACTCTTTTTTTCTTTTCTGTGACTGTAATCTTTTCTTTAATTTCTATCTTTATTTTCTGTTTTGCTCCCTTGGTGATTGTTTTATTTTGTCATTTGAATATTTTCTGATGATAGAATCAAAAGTTCAGAGAATTTCAGATTTTTAAAGGAATTTTAGCAACTAGTCAAAGTATCCTCTAGTCTTTCAGCATGTGTTTGACAGGCTGGCCAAATGATCGTTTTGAGGATGAACCTGAAATTTAAAGATATTAAAGGGACTTTTCTGGGTATAGAAAGTGGCAACAATGAGATTTGAACTTTGGTTCTTGAATTCTAAGCTCAGTACTTTTTCTGGTTATCATTTTGAAGGTGAATATTTTCATAATAAAATGGGGATTAACTGTAGGAACCCAACTAAAGAGGACAAGAATAGAATTAAGTGAACAAAGTGGTAGATGATCAAAATATAACTAATGAAGGAAAGGGCTATTCTGAAGAGTAACAACACTGTGTTGGAGGAATAAGAGTTTTTAGAAAAGAGACCAAAATTGTGGGGTTTATGATCAGTTTGAACACAAAACTGGAATTCAGGGCACAGAATATTGAAAGCTCTCTATAAAGGCATATTAATATATACAGTATTTAGAGGAAGTTCTGATAGGTTGTATTTTTTTTTGTTTGTTTGTTTTCCTGTTTGCATCTCTGTGATTCACAAATGGATTAGTGACTAATGAACCAGGCACTAGAATTTGTCAGAATATATGGATCTGTGGCCCAAAGTGGGTATCCGTTCACCTCCACTTTCTTTTCAACTTGCTGATGTCCTTACAATGTACATGTAGTGTTGGGCACAGGAATGATTGGCAGGCAAAGCCATCACACAGCTCCAGTTAAGTAGTTGGTAATGTTTTTAGACTAAGGCCAGCCTCAATCACTGGCCTCCATTTAGTTGAACCTTGTGTCAGGAATCTGCATGTTCATGATGTAGATTTCAAGTTTGGAGACTGCCACTGAGGCCTGCAGATGAGGGACTAGGGAATGGATCCCAGAGGAAGGAGGACATTTAGAATAATACTCAGGGAAACAGGTACAACTACCCAAGACTCTGCTTTTCTGGCAGTCTTTTCCCTTGAGTATCTGAGTGTCTATAAAGGTTTTAAAGTGCTTTCTAGTTTATGTGGACCTGAATAAAGTGGGACCTATATAGGAAAAATCCATTTTATGATTTATTTCGATGTGCCTGACAAAAATACTCTAAATAACATATATATTCACTTTTTAACTTTAAAAAAGTTTTAAAAGTTTGAGCAAACTGCTTGTGGATAAAGGGGAAATAATAGGGTGTTTTTATTAGTGACTTTCATGGTGAAGAATGAAGTCTGCTATTTTCAAGCCACCTTGCTTAGTATTTGACTCATGGATATCCAAGAGAGGGAACTCTGGTGCATCTTGCTACCTTGTCTTGGGTTATCAGAGGTTTGTTTTGCTATCACTCTGAATTGGAACTAAGAGTGCCTTCATTGAATATCTCATAGTTTCAGAGCAGTAGAAGCAGAACGAGGTAAATAGGAGCTTTTTTTTTTTAAAAAAAAAAAAAGAGGTCATATTTTAATTATATCAATCAAGAAATACCACTTAATAAATTTTACCTAAACGTTAAACAGAGTTTATTTTAAAAAGAAAACCACTCACCCGTTCTTGTTATACATTTTTGCTCTAAAGATCTCCCGAAAAATCTGATCCAGGTGATTCCTGCATTGCAAAGGGTGAGGGCAACTATGAAGCTCATATTAAGGTAAAGTGATCTTTCGTGAAATTCATGTTCTTGCTCTGAATTTTGTATTTTAAGGTGTTAATGCTTAAAATTTAGCTGTATTTTTTTCTGACATTTTATATGAAAATTTGCTAAGAAGAATCCGTTTTAGAGAATTATGTTGAATTAAAAAGTTGTCTGTATCATTGTTCTCTCAAGTACCTGAGCGTCTTGGGGCCAGGGAGAAAAGATGGACTGGAAAACACATAGTGACAGAAAAATTGCATTAGGAACAGCTTTCTAACTGCAGAGGAAATGTGAAATTTAGTCAAGGATCTTTTGAGTAGTCAGTTTATATTACTGTCGTTTGTAAATCATACGTACATGACTTACAACCCATGTCTAAGTTAATTTTTATAGAATCGTGGGATTTCCCTGGTGCCTTTAGTTTGGAATGTATGATGTACATTGCAAGTTGCTTTTTTTACTTGAACCCTTGATGTTTTAGTATCATAACATTTTAGGAGAGCTTTTTCTCTATTTCTATCCTTGGTTCTATATTTATACTAAAATAATATTAGGAATTGTGGCAAGTCAGAAATCTAGGATCTATATCTTAATACTTGTATTAAAAAAGGCTTTTGCATATCCATACTTTGTGAGTCTTTCCACTAAAAGTGACACTAATTTTAAAAACTATAAGTAGCAGAAAGATCAGTAGAACAGAAGGAAATAGTAGGTCCTGAATTAGAACAAATTGTATTCTATGCTTTTATAATGATATCCTAGTATATAACTTCTATTGTGCTGTATAACTGAAAAGAACCAATAAAAATAAAAACAAATGTGAGGTAATGAACTTTTTCTAAAAATTTCCTCTCCATCTAATCAAAAAATAGATGGCCTATACAAAGTAATAACCAGTTCTGGAAGCAGAGACTCTCAATAATTGTATGGTAAAAACTTTCAGAATTATTGTTCTTTGATGATAATTTCTTAAAATATCCAAATCCTATGTCACATTCTGAAAATTTAAATTTTAGGTGTTTCTGTATTTAGTGATTTAAATATTCATTGTAAAAATTAATTAATTAATGTTTCTGTTTAGCAATTCTGTGTGGTTTTTATTCATTGATACTGCCCCCACAAGATTGCTTTTTTCATTCTTCTTTTTCTTGGAAGAAGCAAAATTTGTATGAGCATTTATCTTTAGCTATTTAACACATAAGATGGGCAAAACTTCTACTGTTTTTGAATCCAATCAATCTCATTTAATAGATACTCTAAAAGCTCATGTCATACGTTTTCCCCTCAAGAGGTAATTCATGCCAATGTAAGTCATAAAAACACCTTAAAATATCACACATAATTTCTCAAAATGTTACTCATTTTTCAAAAGTAGTCTAAATACAGATGGCTACAAAGTTTATCCTACATGAATTCAGCTGAAGAAAATGGTATAATGGATTTCAGTATTTGTGTAACAATCAATTGGAGATAAGGGGAGTGACATTTTGGAGATCTCTGTCAAGGCTCATAATCCTTACCCCATGAGAAGGTATGTCTTAGGTAGTGAGAGAATTGGAGTTTGAGTATACATTGGAATGACTCAGAAACCTCTGCTCTTTCTCGCATACCCTGCTATAGTAGAGAACATTAATTATTTCATCAACTTTGGTTTTTTATTATACCTTAATCTTTTTTTCTTCCTAGAACATCCTGGAAGAAGGAGGAAAATTAACTAAAGCTTCCAGGCAATCCACGAAGGATGGTAAGCTATTTGAAGACTGCCTGTTGTTGTGCTGCTTATTGACTGAAATTACAGAATTTTTATATACTGTTTATTTTGTTTTTATTGTCAGAAGCAAAATATGACACTGGGAGCCGAAGGAGTGAAAACTTACCTGACAGCAGTACCCCTGCCAGTCAAAAGAAGGAAGTAGTTGAAACCACACTGGTGCAGGAAATCAGAATAAAGAATTATTCTCCTTTCTTTCCATCACCTGACTCAAAGGTAATGCGTTTTTAAAAACTCTTTCCATTTTTTTTTCACATATCACCTTCCATGATGACAAACATCCTATAACAAGGTTATACTAGAAAACAAGGATAACAATAGGTGAGGTGTATATAGAGAATTAACATTGACAGAATGTGGTGGGAATAAACACTTCTTTGGTGTGCCCTTATGGAAGGAAAGAAATAGAAAAGAAGGCAAAAGAAGAGTTTGATGAATATGAAGCTGAGAAAAAGGGATGCATAGGAAGAATTCATTTATGAAGGAAAGGATAAGTTTCCATATTGAATAAGAGAGACAAGATGGCTGATATTTAAAATAAGTAGTAGTGAAATGAAGGGGATCAGCAAGTCAATATTAGGCCAAACACAGGAATGTTTAGGAGAAGTACGTGTTGGATATATAGAACAATGTGTCAAATATGTCTATCATTTACTCTTTGATATTCTTGAATGACTAGGAGGCAGGGTGTGAGATTACCATCACAACCATTTTGTGATTATAATGAATAGAAAAATAAGCAAATAAATGTGGGTATTTTAGATCCTTAAGAAATCAATGTTTTCTTTGCTTCTGTTCTTATTAAAGCTTCAAGTAATTTATATTTAGCACCAGTTAATATAGTTTTAAAACTATTAAAATAGTCAATGCTTGTTGAATTATATCAAAATGGACTCTACTGTCACATATAATTAAAAAGAAACCAATAAAATAAAAAATACTTATAAATAGGTACTGCTATTCAAAGAAAAATATAAATCTAATCAAAATAAGTAATAGGGTAATGAACATGATAAAGTAACTTCTAAAAATTTTAAAAAAAGATAGCCAAAATTTAAAAATTGCACCTGAAGTGTACACAAAATTTCACTGTGGCATATTTGTATGTACATATAGATTAATTATACTCCCCCAGTCATATCTTGAACATTCCTTCCTCTAGAAGAATAGAACCTCCAGAGGTTCTATTCCCAATTTTTTTATTGATTTTAAAAAATGGCAGAGGAATGCATTACAATTCTCATTACAAATATACAGCACAATTTTTCATCTGTGGTTGTATATAAAGTATGTTGACACCAATTTGTGTCTTCATACATGTACTTTGGATAATGACATCCATCACATTCCACCATCCTTGCTAACTCCCTGACTACTCCCTTTCCCTCCCTCCCCTATTTCTTATCTAGAATTCATCTATTCCTCCCATGCTCCCTCTCCCTACCCCACTATGAGTCAGCCTCCTTATATCAAAGAAAACATTTGGCATTTGTTTTTTGGGGTTGACTAAGTTCACTTAGCATTATCTTCTCCAAC